ATTCCTACACGGTTCATACTACATTTTTGAAAAAAGCCTTAAATGAAAGCTGAGAGTCTGCACTTTAAGCAGGTATTCATTGTTTCATTAAAAACCCATTGTGGTGGTGTACAGAGCCAAAATGACGACAACTGTATCATTGTCCAAATAATTATGGACCTGAGTGTATATGTTAATGATATATTTTAATGTTAAAGCAGTAATCAGTTCTGATATATGTCCAAGAGGCTAAAAATATTCCACTCTAGGAAGAAAAGACAACATATATATCTATATTTTAACTAGAAACACATTAATGGCGACATCATATAGTAAGGAAAAAAAGATTTATTTACAGTAGGCTATGTACAAGAAGAATATGGTAAATTAAAGATCAAATATTTATAGTGTAAAACCAATCAAATTGTGTTTGTAAGAGAAATAAATAGACATTTAAACAGAAATATAAAATATGCCATCAGTCCTGTGGGAGATTTGATAAAGAATAAGAAATCTAGATTTTAACACAAAACAAATAACTCCAAAAACTTCTTTTTTCTTTTTTTTGTGGGCAGGAGAAAATCAGTCAAACCATATTGTAAGCTAAACCTGCATACATACAGAAAAATGCATTTATTACCCTATTTTGAAGGTGAAATGATGGTGCAACACCACGGTTACATCATTAGGCAAAGCCAGTACATGTAAAAAATATTTATATGTAAAATATGAGTGCTGTACATCTTTTAAATGATAACGATTCTTCAATTTAGCTACAGATTTAGATTCAGCCAATCTCATTTTGCTTATATGAAACCAAGTATAAGATAACTATGTAAAAATACAAAGTGCAGTTGGGCTGCAGCTTGAGTAGCTACAATCTCACCTCTGACAAAGAGAGATTCATACAACTGTCACATTTTATCTCAGGTCTATACGTGAAATATCACAACACAAATACAAATGAGCAGTTTTTTGCTGGGGCCAACCAGCCTGAATAATGGCAACAAGTTTGCCTATCTTTATTCCACTCAAATCATACATTCAGGCAATGAAGCAGTTGCTGCTTCTAACGGGTTGGCCAATCCATCTCAAACCTCTCTTTCACGCTCCAAAGCAGGGTTTGAAGCAGTGGTTCAATGGAATTGCTTTGTATCAAAGCTTCAGTGTCACACTGCCATCACTACTTTGATCTGCTTCATTAACGAACCAGTCAGGTGATGCATTCAGGCAATGAAGCAGTTGCTGCTTTGAACAGGCTGGCCAATCCATCTCAAACTGCACATGGCCATTGAGCATTGGCATAGGCAGAAAGTATAAATCGTGGCAGATGTTATGTTGCCCCGACGGGGTATGAACTAGTATTATTTTAATTTCGAATTTCTGTAATTTTCAGCAATGCTTTGTGATTTATTTCTGCAGGAAATGCATTTTCTAGTTATGGCTTAGTTTTAAAAACTTTCTATTCCGCTTCTGATTTGGCTGGGAGATTCTCCTATTTTGGGTGCGCAAGAAGTGGTGAATTCTGATCCTGTTGAACAGTTTAACCATGTAAACAAGCAAATGTCTGCATGCTTCCTTACCACACACTACCTCACTACACTCACTGACAACCTCCATGCTACTGTTAAATAGCTTCTGTCCCAAACATAGTGTGTGGATCACTGAGTTTACATTTTTCCGAAAGTTAGACTCAAGGGCAGTGATCAAATCAACCAGTGCTGTGCTGGGCACTTTCAGGCCTTTCTCACCTAAGACGAGGTCAGTATATTGCTTGTCCTTGAGAAATGTGTATCTGCTATCAGTAGGCACGTATGTAGTGAGAAGTGAGCAGTTGTTACAGGGACCTTCAGGACCAGAGAATTTACCCACAACCTTATTCACAATGTAGCCTGCAATATACACAAGCACATTTCCATCAAGGTCAAATGCAGAGGAGGACGAAACTGGAGTCATCTTGCTCAGCATGTCCAGAACACCTTCAGGCGGGTCGAAGTCAGATTTCAGGACAGTATCACCACTCTAGAGACAAGAAAACAAACAAACAAACAAACAAACTAAATGAGCCTGAATTTCTAGTTTGTGAAAATCCTGATTATTGGTGACCATCAACCTGTCGTGAGTTCTGGACCTTATGTTCTTGTAGACTGGTTCTGGTTGAGCTTTGTCTCTGTATTCTGAGATCCACAGCATTACAAGGGGTAGACAGCTGGTGCAGGCCGATCTCACTCCCTGACTTGTCTTTCTCACCCATCAAGAGAGTTTCTCTCACCCTGACCTCAGTGCAGTCCATCAGTCCTTCTTAATGGATAATAAAACAATTAAATGTTAGTAGTTCAAATTTCACAGGAATATGTAAAATGTTATGAAAATCATACTCAAGTATTACTTACCAAAATCTCCAGAGTCACTGACTGATTGGTTGGAAGGACTCTGATTGGATTCCACTGGATGGATCCCAATCTCTGTTGCCCCAGAATCAGGAGCTCCTTGAGAGTAGCTGTGCTCCTTTGCAATCCTCTCTGCGTCACTGATGCCCGGGGGACAGTTCTGGGAGGCATATGTACTGATCTGCAGCAAGAACGTGTTGAGATCTTCTTCACAATTGGTCTTTTCACAGTTGTTGAACATCAATCCTGTGACCACAGCCTGATGTTCACATTCAAACTGGACAGAGTCAGGGTTGTCACGATTACCACCGCGGGCTGAAAACAAACACACATCACACCAAAACTGGATCAATTGAAAGTTAGTAGTACTTTAGGATCATTTTTAAAATATATTTTTGATATTGCACATTGAGCAAGAAAGATAATCTTTTAAAGTGTTCCAGGCAATGCTATACCAAATACAGAATTTAAATTTTACGTACCTCTAATACTTGAGTAGGCATTTTCCAGGCAGTCTTGATTTAATCCATTTGTCAACAGGAAGGACACCTGATGCCGCTCACGAAGATCACACCACAGCATTATGAGGCACAGGATGTTATGCTGCCACCCCTCAACACATGGGACCTGCTTGGTTGTAGAAGCATCTAGAAGCCTCAGACGTGGAAGCCACTCCATGCAGCTGTCCAGGAATGGAAAATGAGCAGACACTTCAGACAGTCCAGACTTCAGCTTGTGAGAGTCTTTCAACTGCTTGGAGTTGAAGCAGTCAAACAGGCCGTTAAAGCTTTCACAGAACTTGGCGGCCGCTATGTAGTTTTGTTGAAGTTTGCCAGTAAGACGCTTGACTTCTGACAGTGTCTTGATTCCAACTGCAACTGAGTGACTCAGGACCTGTGTAGCAAACCTCACATGCATGGAGGCAAATGGAGGGAGATACACATGTTTTTTTGTTAGACGGCAACAAAGACGAATTTCTTGTTTGCTGTCATAAGCATACAGATCTTCCAAGATGGCCCAGGTGATCTCATTCCCATCCAATTGAAAGCCGTGGTTCCTCCAATTGTTCCTGATGTTCTTTATGAGGTGCGGTGGATCCCACATGCAGAAAATTCTGATGCCATCAACATCGAAATACGGCTGGTCCTTAGTCACCCCAAGGCGCGTGAGCATGGCACGATTTCCAGCACCCTGGTCACAGATGAAAACAAGACACTCCATCCCTGCACTTCTCAGCTCACGGATTCCTTCAAACAGTAGTGATTGGAGACGATCATGAGGAATGGGCCCACTACTGAAGCAGTATCCGAAGAGCTGTTTCCACTCTTTGAAAAGGCCCATCACCATGAAGGCTGAGGCATAGTTGGCCACATATGGACTCCGCTGTCCTTTCCCCAAGTCCTCAAACCCCTCGACCTTGTCAGCAGACTCATTGTAGTGGACGGCTTCCTTGATGGACATCTTATCTGTGATGATTGCACACACCTTGTCCATTGGCTTGGTGTTCTCCATGGCCTTCTGCATTGTTGTCAGGACACTGCGGTTGAAGCCTGGCTTGAAATCAACCGATTTCATTACCTTCTTCAGAGTGCGAACAGATGGCATCGAAAACACCTTGCAGAGAAGCCGATAACATTTTGGGCTTGTGTGGAGGAGAGAAAGGAAAAAAGCTTTGTCTTTGGTGGACCAACGGAAACCTGGAGCCTTACGCTCGCACATGCGGATCTGTGTGTAAACAAAGGCAAAAGATTTGGCCGGCAACACACGCTGCAGCTCCTTCATGAGCAACCCCTTTGCCACAGCCTTGCTACTCTTTTTTTGTTTGAGATCTTTCACCTGCGATTTCAGCCTGCACACCTGCGAGTTCAATCTCCGGATTTGTGCCTTCATTGAATCTATACAGTCATGGTGTTTTGGTGTTGTATTGGTGTGTGGTGCTTGTGAAGAAGGCCCCGGAATGTCCTCTGCTGATGGCGGTGGAGGCAGAGTAGGCCCTGTTGCAGCAACATCTGGTGATGACGGGCGGGCAATAAGTTTACCTGTAAAAGACAACCATTTGTGAATACTTTGAAATGAAGTCAGTATATCAAAGTATTGATACCGTTACGGTATTCTGTATGATCACGTGAGCAAGATCAATGAAAGCAGCCTGCCTTCAATATCTTAATCATTCATGTGTGCTCATGGTATGTATTTGAATAGTATATTACCTGCCAGCCTTATTTTAATCATGTCATAACAAATAGAAATATTTTTGATACAGCAGCCTTTTACTTGAATCCTTTAAAGATGTCTGTCTCAGGTACTGGCATTTACATAATGTTAGACCAAAAAATTAAATAAAGAAGTTTGAGCAATTTCAAGAAAAAGAGAATCTTACGTTTCTTTAGTGGCAACTCCTGGCGCTTCTTTGGAGGCTTTCGCTTTTTCTCCACCGCTAGTGTAGGTGGTGGGTTTGGGACATTCACTCTTGTGGGAACAGCACTCCAAATCAGTCCAGCGTGGCTAAAGATAATAAAACAAGCGTTATCTTACTTCATCTATCTATTATAAATAAAATTATGAATGGAAGACATTTTAATTATGTTACCACATGAATAGTACATACACATCTGATGGCCTTTTGAACTGGCTAGAATGAAAATGGCCACTGCAGACTCTGTAGCTCTGGTGGAGCTGCTGGGTGCTTATCCCCTCCAGAGAGGCATTTCTCAAGTTATGCACCCACCTTGCACACCTGCAACACAATGTGAATAATTCAAATGCTTTTGTATTAACCCTATAATGCACTGTGTATTCAACTGCCAACATAATTTACTCCTAGGGACCATTCTTATCTTTTTTTTTGTTATTAGAGTTGTAGGCCATTATAACAGAAATAAAACATCAAAATGGATGGTGTCTGTGTGTTAGTGTTTGTTTGTGTGTGTGTGTGTGTGTGTGTGTGTGTGTTCATTTAAAGTCCAAAAATGGACTCATAAGTCAAGTCAAGCCAATCTTTATTTATATAGCACACAACAGTTGACCAAAGTGCTACACAGGTTAAAACACAATATAACTAGCAATATGAATAAGTAAAAACACAATATGACACAATAATATGCACTGAGGGTTAAGTCACTCAAGTTTATTAGCATCCCATCTTTTTAGTTTATTGCTAAAAAGATTGTTAATGTAGAGCCAACAGCAAACTCTTTTTCATCCGTTGCTTTCTCTTCTAACATTTTATATTAAACAAAAACATTATAACAAATAAAAGCTCATCCATGTGAATAAAAATAATGTGATTACTATAACTCCCGTTTCAGTGCATTGACACGTGCAGTTTTGCAAGTGTTATCTGGCATATTAAATTGATACGTACACCTCAGGAGTTCTTACCTGTCGGGATCCTTCGGGAAACGGTGGAAGGCCAGGTGCGGGGTGTTCCACTGATAGTTCTTGCAATTGATTGCACTACACTTTTTTCTTTGACTTTTTTCATCCTTTCTCCTTGACATCTTGAATGTTGTCTGGCCGCAACAGTCCAAGCTCGACAGTCCAAAATGGCGGCAGCGCTACCTCAGCACCCCTACTTTTTCTTCTTCTTCTTCTTCTTCTTCTTCTTCTTCTTCTTTGTGTTTCCTGGCGGATTGCAATACCAACTTTAAAGGTGCATACCGCCACCTACTGGACCGGAGCATGTAGGACAGGATCTAGTTTTACATTACATTATATCATGGATAAATAATAAAGAAACAAAACAAAATTAAAAAAAGAAAAAGAAAAAAAAAGAAACGCCTACCGCTATATTCTATAAAACAAACCAGTGTTATATAGGTAATCTATTACCCCTCGCTGTATCTCCCACACCTTATCTCCCTTAGTTCCCTGTATCCCTGCCAAATTCCAATCCCGTCCTGCCTCTCTCACCCTTTGTTGCAACATTACCCTTTCTTCGTTATATTTACTACAGTACATAATTACATGTTCAACATTTTCAATAATATTACAATATGTGCAAAATTGTGAGTTTACTTTTCCCAATAAAAATAAAGTATTATTTAAACCAGTGTGATCAAACCTTAATCTTGATAAAACTACCTCCTCTCTTCTACTTCTTCCCTTAATACTCTGTGCTCTGACTGTGTTTTGTATTCTGTAATAAATTCTGCCCTTACTGTCCTCATCCCACTTCTTCTGCCAAAATTCTGATATTTCCTTTTAGATTAGTGCTTTTCCTTCACCTTTTCCAAACAGAATATCAGTTACATGTCTCATACTAAGTGCTCTTTTTGCCACCCTATCTGCACATTCATTTAATCCTTTTAATCCCACATGGGCAGGTACCCAGCAAAATTCTACCTCGATCCCCACTTTCTGAACTCTCAACAGACACTCAAGAATTTCATACATTAAGTGTGATTTAGCTGCTGCTCCATAAACAAAACATCCATAATCTATTGCAGATCTCATCAATGCCTTATTTATATATCTATTAATGCCTGCTAATCTGCTCCCCAATTATATCCTGATATAGCTCTCATTAAATTAATTACTTTTTTGCATTTTGTTTCTAATTTTTCAACATGCAACTTCCACGTACACCTTCCATCGAGCCAGATCCCCAAGTACTTAAACGCAGCGCCCCTAGTGGCTGTTGTCAAAAATTCAACGGAGCTTCGCCTCTTGGTGTCCATATTCTTTGACTATAGGGTGAATAGTGAACTCTTGCCTGTAGAGGGCAGCATTGCGCTTTATGAGCGCACAGCCTGCCGGAAATTCATTAGTAGAAGAAGAAGAAAAACAATACACAGGCGGCATGGCTAATGCTAATGGTACTTCAGACACCGCAGCCATGGGCTCTACTGAAGCCACTTCTTATGGATACTTGAAGGACTTTTATGAACAAGTCGGTACAGACTACAACGGGAAGAACCTCACATTTTTATGCAAACTGTGCGCTCCGACTCTGAAGAAACATGTCCGGACATCAGCCACATCGCTAACAAATCTGAAGCGACACATCGAGTTGATGCATCCCACCAGTCTTGGGAAATATCTGCGAATGAATGATAATCACAAAAGATCGTTTACAAAGGGTAAGACAGCTGCTAAGATCTATTATTAACTGTACTCTGCAGAACTGATGTCAACACATATCTTTAGCTATAGCAGCTGTAATGGAGCCATTGGTGGAGCCTGTAGCAGCTCACTTGTCAGCATATAAATGACATTTTAGGTTTATGAACTGCTGCATAATGTAGTTCATGCAGGTGGAATGCAATTTCCATTGCATCTTCAGTATCTTTTTCCACTTTCTGCTCAATAGGCTTCATGGTTCAAGTGGTAAAACTTCATTTTAATCTGTGATCTAAACTTTGAGCTGTGTGAACTTGAGCAACAGTGTTTATTAGTCTCTATCTTGGCTTATTACAGCTGCACCCAACATGTCAGTGGCTCTGCAGAAAGCCAAACACACCATAGACCTCAAGGACCAGCAGATCCAACATCTACAGGAAACAGTGGCACTCCTCACAGAAGAGAGGACCTTCCTGAGAGGCCTGCTAGAGGATGGTGATGCTTATATTGAGTTTAACATGAGCTAAATTTCTTTTTACTTTGATGTGCATTTTCTGTGATTTGCTCTATTCTTGTCTGTGCAAGGTATTCTTACACTGCCTTGTTTTTTAACCACAATATTCTGATATCATAGTTCTGAAAGGGAGAGCTGTCAGTGTATCTCCTGCATCAGCTGGGCCACTAGTAAAGAGCGAAGATGACCCTCAAGTCGGCTACGGCATCTCCAGCACCTCATCGTCTTAATTCCACTCCCTCAGAGGAGGAAGCAAAGAAGAAGAAAAAAAAACAAGAAGTACAAGAAGAAGAGATTCAAGAAGGTGAATTTCCACAGAGCTGTTGCGAAAGTAGTTGAATTATCTGTGGGTTTTGGGGAGGTGTTGTTGACTGAAGGGCTGGCAATCAAACACTGGCACTTATCTTAAATGTATGTAAACACACAACAGTGAAATCAAACAGTATTCTGTTCCAGCCCTGTGTGTTTACGGCGTGCTGCCCTGATGGAAGGTAGGGATTCTAAGTTGTTGAAACAGTCCAAGACCCCAAAATATTCAGTTTGATATCACAGAGGGCCAGCTCATATTCACATTTGGAAAGTGAATTATGGCCATTTTTACTCAACAAATGTGATAAATTGGTTATCAAAGCAGTTGCAGATTAATGTTCTGTCAATCAACTAATTTTTTATTCAGCTTATTCTTTCAGCTTTAACTTACACACACCTTTTTTGACATGTATTTCTAAGACTTATGTGATACCTATCCCTAACCTATCCTACCTGTCCTTGGCCATGAGCACCTTCCTGACTGTGCAGGCTGACCTGGCTGCATGACATTTTGTGCTTCTTGTAAGATGATGAGAGCAGCCAACTTCCAGTCCTGGAGCAGCCATTAATAGAGATGCTACCAGGGGGGTGTGCCCATTAAATCCTCCGCTCAGACTCGCCGCTGGCTGAGGGTGGATGTCAGATTCTTGCCCATCAGGGACAACAGGAGATGGAGGTGGAGAGTAAGGTGTGTTAATCAAATCACCAACTACTGCCCTGAGAGTTTAGAGCACATCTCTGTAGTCCATCTCCCCCACAGCATGGTGGCATTCTGCACACAGGTCCATGTTGTTAGCAGACATGTTGTATGCTGTTTCCTGAAGTTGCTGGGAAGAATGACTTCTGTCTGATTGTATCTGAAGGTTACTGAGCTCCTGTCACACACATTGATAAGAAGCTGATTTTGAGGCACTTTTATAGAGAGTAAAATTAGGGATAAAGGTGCAAACTTGATTCTTGGATAGAGTCAAGGTGAGAAGGGGCAGCATTTGTGTAACTGCTGCTATAGAAAGCACCCTGATGGAAATAGAAACATCCCTTGACAATAAATTACCCCAGTCAGTGCAGCTAGGAGCTCTTGCTGAGAGTGACAACAGTACCCTGACTATTACTAATAATAATAATAATAACAACAATAATAATGGCTGAATTAGAAATATCAGGGAAAGTAATCACACCTACACAATAAGAGTCTATAACTGAGAGGAGCATAAAGTCAGGGTGTGTGGAGGCAAAGTTCCCACAGTTACAGTATGAGGTTTCTCCATCTCTGCTACTTTTCTACTTCACTGCATTTATAAGGACAATATTGTACATTTTACTACATTACATATGACAGCTATAGTTCCTTCTTACTTTGCAGATAGCAATTATGTCACGCAGCTTATTTAACATATACATTTATAAAATATGAGGCACTTTGTCAAGATTGAAGTACCCAACCATATATATAGTTGGTAATATGTTTCACCTTAAGAGCTTGTAATATTTAAGTGCAGCTTACATGGTGATTAATCAGTGTTAATAATCCAATGATATATGATAGAAAAGTTTGGAAGGAGCGGATCAGCATTTTAAGTACTTTAAATCTTTAGTAATTTTACTTACAGCACTTCTGTAGTTTTAGTTAAGTAAAATGTTGCATTTACTTACGTAATTTTTAAGTATTATTATAATTCCATTTAATTAAGGAGCAGTAAATAATGTACTAAGGCCAAGCCTTACCAACTGCAACATTAAAGTGATGCTTACACAATAATGCATCATAATTATAACCCAGTATTCTGAAATGGACCATTTGCATAACGTGTACTTTTACTATTGGTACTTACTTTGATATGTTTGTACTGTAATTAAATGCATGACCTTTAAATGTAAGAGTATTTCTACACTGTGATGTTGCTACTTTTACTCATGAAAAGATCTGAGTATCTCTTTCACCACTGTACACAGTTTATTGATCCGTCCGTTATCAATGTCTGTGTTTCGTCTGTGCCAACTGCAAACCTGCTTATTTCAGCTGTAGAGGAGGCTCACCCTGGCCATTATTGATAATATTATTACATTCATTTGCATAGTAAATTTCATTAATGCGATGCAGCTCAAAGTGGTTTACATGTCGAACATGTTTGCATTTTCACTGTAAGCATATTAATATGCTGATGTGAGCACTTAACTCTAGCACGGCCTCATGGAGATGCTAACAGGTCACTAAGTAAGCCCAGTGGTCATGGTAGTATCACACCAGGCCCTGACAACCAGCTATAGTATACCAAATATAAAGATATTAATATTGTTACATGTTTTGTATTCAATTTTGATTTATTTTGATCCTTGTTTTTATTTTTAACTCTTTTGTTGTTTAATGGTTTTGTCTGTTTTCTTCTGTCATCCACCTGCATACTAAAACCGATTGTTGTGTCTTATTGCATGAGTGCTCTTGATATACATTTACCCATTGTGTGTAAAATGTTGCGATTATTACTGTCTGCATACACACTGCTGGTAATGCATCATCAGATAATAAACTGTTGACCATAAAACAAAATTATTTTACTTTTTTTACATTCTTGATGCATCTTTATCATCTACTGCACTGTTACCTGGAATCACTGATCCTGAACCTGAATAAAAACTATTAAGAAGGTGGCCAACAGTATATTTATATGTAAATTACTACAATCCCACAATACCGATTTCCAAGG